TTGTAGCGACTCCCAAACTTATTTGATCACTCACTGTCCATTATCCAGCCTCAATAACTTTATGCTGCACATTATATGTGGATATTCAGAAGGACAAAAAGGTTAGAGTTCCAAGGAACACCCAAAAAGAGAAAATGCTGCATAACACTTAGGAACAAAGAAAGGGGGTTATTTCAAACAGTCAAGGCTGCCAAGAGTTGCAGTTCCACATTATACTTATTCAGGCATTTGTAATAGGGTCTAACTAAAATGAAAGTGCATGCACAAACACCCTAGCTCTTGCATCCTCCAGGTCTATCATTCTCCGTGTGTCCCAATACATCTGCCTGCAGCAAGGAAGGCTCCTGTACTCATGGAAGCTTCCCTTTGTTCTGGAACCCTGCTTTTCCAGTTTTCCAAAATGCATGGGAACTCAACAAGTACAAGTGGTTTCCCAAGTGCAGGCTGCTGCCCTAGAACACACAAGGGACAACAGGCTTGGGAATGCAGAGCTAGTGTGTTCATGTACACTTTCCCTTCCTAGCATATTTTGGTTAGTCATTTACAAACACCTGAACAGACTACTCTCAACTCAAAACCCCATTCTTTAGAGCAGTGGACTGAGTTGCTGATAGGCAGAGTATTTGGTGAAGAGTTTACAGGAACAGTAGCAGAGCTGAGATTATTACCAGCACACCATCTCTTTCCGAAACAAGAAAGGTGCACTTCTATATGGCACTGACTGAGGCTGGGTGGATCTCTGAATCTTATATACTTCTAATTGCACAAGAACAACCAAATTGCTCAAGCGCACCCAAAGTTTCTCCCACACTCTTAAAATACAAATCAGGACAAGATAAGGAAACCACTCTTAGGTAAACCTTATGCAAACAAGAGCTTACTTCCTCCATTAATGCTTCAGGGAATACAAGCTTACACCCCGCTAAAGCTCTTGCTTTCTTCACCTGTAAACCAGAAGAATCCTTGGGGGAAAACAGGTTCTGCCATCCCCATTACAGAATCCCAGCTCAGAGTACCTATTCAAACCTGAATGTAACATCTTATTGGCAAGTACAGTCTTAACATGTGGGTGGAATTCGTTCAATGTACCGTATTTTTCGCCCCATAGGACGCACCTAGATTTGGGGGGGGGGGAATAAAGGGGAAAAATTATTTCCCCCCCCCCCGGCACGCCCCATGCTTCGGGCTGCTGCCTGCAAGCCTTGGGAGCCCGGTGGGCACTCCCGCCGGGCTCCCAAGGCTTGTGGATAGCTTCCTGAAGCCTGGAGAGCGAGAGGGGTCGGTGCGCACCGACGCCTCTCGCTCTCCAGGCGTCAGCGAAAGCCTGCATTCGCCCCATAGGACGCACACACATTTCCCCTTCATTTTTGGAGGGGAAAAAGTGCGTCCTATAGGGCGAAAAATACGGTACCACTAAGTGGGGTATGTGTTTGAGGAATTAGGCCCACTCATGCAATGGGACTCCCCCCCCCTCAATGCACTTCTAAACCTGTTCTGGGGTTCCCCCAACAAGTTAGTTGTATCCCACCCAATGTTTTTGAGGCCATGGAATACATATCACTGGGACTAACACTATCAGCATATATGCTGTGACTTGACAATATATTAAGTATGTCCAGCCAAAGAGCACACTCAAGAACTTGGCACTTCCTTTACACAACTCAGATAAAGCAATACAAGAGCAGAAAATACAAAAGACCAGCCTCCCCTCTTTGCAGCTAGCAACTGATGTCACTTAGCTGCAACAGGGATCGCAGATGGAAAACTAAGATAAGGCAGCCCTTCTCCTGCTACTGGCAATTATTGTTTGAAGAAGAGGCAGAAAAAGAGAACAACAATTAAAAAGGAAGAGGGGGAAAGGGGTGGGAGAAGAAATGATGGATTGGGAGCATAAAGATGAAGAGCTTATATCGCCAATGCAGGCAAGTGCCCACCTCAATCCCACCACATATTTTGTGCATACCTGCTTTCCCAAAGGTATGAATAGGACCAGAGACCTACAAAGGAAAGTTACCAAGGGAAGGGTGACACCTTTCTACAATGTACTGTGCAGTTGCCCCCAACACACTTTTTTCCACTACTAAAAAAGCACCTGTTTGAATTTTCAGGGAACAGTGATTGGAGCCAAGCTTTTATTACCTTTACCAGCAGAAGGCACAAATTTTGTTTTATTGCAGTGTTTTTTTAGATGAACATTTTATTATGTTAGGTTATCTGTATGCTTGCTCTGGGCTCCTTTGGGAGGAAATGAATGTAACAAAAAATAAATAAAACGTTAATTGCTCCTTTCTACAATGTACTGTGCAGTTGCCCCCCAACACATTATTTCCCCACCACTAAAAAAACACACACCTGTTTGAACTTTCAGGGAACAGTGATTGGAGCCAAGCTTTTATTACCTTTACCAGCAGAAGGCACAAATTTTGTTTTATTGCAGTGTTTTTTTTAGATGAGCATTTTATTATGTTAGGTTATCTGTATGCTTGCTCTGGGTTCCTTTGGGAGGAAATGAATGTAACAAATAATAAATAAATAAAACATTAATTGCTCCTTTGTAGTTATAAACACTTGTGAAAAACATTCACATACTGTATATGGTTGAAACCGCAACCAGACACATCCCTGGAGACCCTTGCATATCCAGGGTGGTTCTCAACCACACCAGATTTGAGCAGATCCAAATACTACATCCCAATAATTACACTATAAGCAAGACAAATATGCCACATGTAGGACCCACAATTTGCCTCCCCCTCACCCCTGCTCAAATATCTACAATTTCAGCCCAGCATTGTAAGTATCACAGAGAAAGCTGACACCCACATAGACACTCCAGACACCCACATAATACAATTAAGAGTGCTGGAAATGCAATTACTCCCTGAAGAGAAAGAACAGGCAGCACACCAAAAAGCAAAATTTAAAAGAGAAATAAAAAGCCAGCAATCAAAAAAGGAAAAGGGGGATGGTATTTGGGAGAGGATTAGGAGCTGAGAGATGAAGAGCTTACTTGGGTCACTACAAGTCTGGCTCATCTGGCTTTTGTTTCAGACCCAAGTTAAGTATGTCCTAATTTTAACTTCACTATCTACTTGTCCTGCTGCATATCTGTACTACACAGAAACGGAACAGATTTCCTCAGTCATCAAAATTTAGTCAAAGTACAGCAACAGAGCAGGCAAAAGTCAGGAATGGGGAAAAGGTAAATAAGCCCAAAATAAATGCTCTGGGATTAGCCATTTGCAATCGATTGGTTAGGGAATTTAGTGAGTCTGGAGTTCAAATAAAATTGTCAAGTGGCCCTTTATCCGAGGGAAAAAGCCACAGCCAGGCTTTTCAGCAAGACAACAGCAAACAGCATATTGAACTTTCAGTAGAAGGCAGAAAATTAGACTGTAGCAAAGGAGAACACAGATCACGAAGAAAAAATGGGCACTTGGAAAATAGCCCAATAGAAAGAGACTGCTTTCAAGAAATGTCACTTGTTACAGGATGTGTGTGCATGGTGCGTTTGATGCCTCTAATACATCTCACAACTTTATCACTGCAATCTTGCAGCAAAAGAAAATGCTTACTAGGAAGCTGACTACTTTCCAAATACATTAGACTAGAGGCCTACTTTGCCCTTCCAACATTCCACCATGCTGGGGTGTGAGCCAGGCAGCAAACATTAATTTATAGATTCATGCATTGTTTCCCTTCCATGAAACAATTGCTAGTATTTCTTCCACTTCAGGAAATACTAACAACCAGCAGCATGACGTTGATTACTCATGTTAAGGGATACTCCATCCCAACTTCACCCTTTTGACAGCTGACCCTTTTGCCCTCTAAGCATCCTAGGGGAAGCTTAAAGGTGATCAAGTTGTTTAATAAGGGCTGGGGATCACACAAGAGGTGGGAAAGGAGGCACAGTTTCCTAGCTTAGCTACATTTCCACCAACATGCACCAGTTTAGCTGCTTCAATCCACCTGCTATAAAAAGGAACCAGAATATGCCTGCTGCACCTTTCCCCTAGATACCAAATTTAAGACTGGGGGAGGGAGCATACAACCGCCCCTGTCAGAGGGAATGAGCAGTTTCCCATCCAGAGGTCACGTGAACAGGAAAAAGCCAAGTCTGCAATTGCCAAGGCCTGATATTCCCAAAACATATGATCATGGAAATCTCAAAATGAAGTCAACCCTCTTAATGGGAAGAGAGGAGAAAGGGATATACTACACAGCAACAGTTTCTTCTTTTTCCTCTTACCCACCAACCAACCACCGCAGTTCACCATTTCGTTGTCTTTCTCCACCCCCACCCCCCGGGGGACGGACATAATAAGGATCCCTCTCCCTTTAAGACTTCATACGGGAGGGGAAGCAGCAACCTAACGGGGTAATAAAGTAGAGAACATCTTTCAACAAGCCTAGACCTAACGCAACGTCCTCTGAAAGAGAAACGTGGAAGTGGAGCGGTGGATAAGGCAGTCCCACCCAAGGACACAGATGTACCCAGCACAGGCCCCACTCCCCACTGGCTTGGCTACAATCGCGTTACGAGACCCCGCGCCCTACGAGTCCCCCTAATCTTAGAGCTGGAAGGGGGTCCCCCCCAAGGGTCATCTAGCCCAACCCCCTGCAATGCAGGAATTTATTTTTATTTTTGCCCAGCGTAGGGCTCGAACCCACGACCCTGAGATTTTAAGAAACCGACGGATCCGATGCGGGAACACCCAAGTTGCACAGAACCAGGGCAAGACGAACCCCCCCCCCCTTGCAACGGCAGATCCCAAGGGATCCGGAAGATCCCGAGAAGATCCCAGCTGCTGCTCCTTAGCAAGAGTTGGGACGCAACCCCCCACCACTCAAACACGCGCTACACAGCCTCCCACCCCTCGCGAGGCCTCCGGGCAAGTCTCGTGGAGGGCGCGGCCCCTTTAAGGGCGGCCTGTCAGAGGAAGGGCGAAATGGCCGGCGGGGGGGGGGCGGAGGCGAGAAAGAGAATTTCACCTCACCTTGGCACCCAAGAGGCGCGCGGCCGCCCTGCTGCTGGCAGTCAACAAGGTCATGGCGAGCGAGGAGCGGCGAGAACCTGACGCGGCGGCGAAGGGGCGAAAACCAGCGGCCGCCTCGAGGAGAAGAGGGAAGTCCGGGGGTGGGCGGGGAGGAAAGAAGGGAAGCAGGCGAGACCAAGGTTGAAGAGCCTGAGGAAAGGAGCGGCAGCGGCTGCGCCCGGCAGGGTCCTCACAACGCGGCGGCGGCGTCAGCAGCGGAGGGGCGGGGCCTTGCCCCGGCGGAGGACCCCGAGGCTATTAACATAAACGTCGCCGAGGCGCCATTGGGCGGCGCGGCGGGAGGGGCGGGGCTTGTCCGCGCGCGGGCGGGCAAGGGCGTGGTCCTGCCTGGGAGTGAGGCGCCCGAGTCAGGCGCCTGATTTGCGTGGCGACAGCGTCTGAAGTAGCCTCGTCTGCGCACACACATATATAAATTAATACGGGTTCAGCGGAGGGACTGGGAGTACTTGGTGTTGCCAGTCTTGTGGGCTTTCCGTAGGCGGCTTGGCTGGGCTAGATAGGCATTTGTCTGATACTGGAAGGCTCTTCTTTTAGGCTAACTTTATTCCTAACTTCTCCCCCATTGCTTTGTAAAGGGTAAAGGGACCCCTGACCATTAGGTCCAGTCGTGGCCGACTCTGGGGTTGCGGTGCTCATCTCGCTTTATTGGCCGAGGGAGCAGGCGTACAGCTTCCAGGTCATGTGGTCAGCATGACTAAGCCGCTTCTGGCGAACCAGAGCAGCGCACGGAAACGCCATTTACCTTCCCGCCAGAGCGGTACCTATTTATCTACTTGCACTTTGATGTGCTTTCGAACTGCTAGGTTGGCAGGAGCAGGGACCGAGCAACGGGAGCTCACCCCATCACGGGGATTTGAACTGCCAACTTTCTGATTGGCAAGTCCTAGGCTCTGTGGTTTAACCCACAGCGCTACCCGCATCGCTTGTTGTTGTCGTTTAGTCGTTACCGACTCTTCGCGACCCCCTGGACCACAGCATGCCAGGCACTCCTGTCTTCCATTGCCTCCTGCAGTTTGGTCAAACTCATGCTGGTAGCTTCGAGAACACTGTCCAACCATCTTGTCCTCCGTCGTCCCCTTCTCCTTGCACCCTCCACCTTTCCCAACATCAGGGTCTTTTCCAGGGAGTCTTCTCATGAGGTGGCCAAAGTATTGGAGCCTCAGCTTCACAATCTGTCCTTCCAGTGAGCACTCAGGGCTAATTTCCTTCAGAATGGATAGGTTTGATCTTCTTGCAGTCCATGGGACTCTCAAGAGTCTCCTCCAGCACCATAATTCAAAAGCATCAATTCTTCGGCTATCAGCCTTCTTGATGGTCCAGCTCTCACTTCCATACATCATTACTGGGAAAACCATAGCTTTAACTATACGGACCTTTGTTGGCAAGGTGATGTCTCTGCTTTTTAAGATGCCGCATCGCTTACCTCCATGTAAAACCTGAGAGCAAAATCCCATGGAACTCATTGGGACTTGATTCAGAGCAGAAATGAGCTGTAAGGCTCACCCTGCGTCAGGCAACCAATCAATTTTGTATACCGCCTTTCATCCGAAGATCCCAAGACGGTCTAGGGATTCATAGGAAAACCCGGAGGGGAGCAGCAGCACAAGGCCACTGTGCCAGAGGAAAGCAGGGTGGTTTTATTTCTCCACCCAAACTTTTCTCTGGTCCCTTGTGGACCCATAAAATCGAGACAAAATGAGAGGCAAGTAGAATTAGAATGAGAATGTTTTACTTGTTGTTGTTTTTTGTTGTTGTTTTTTAAAAAGACCTGCTCCTCCAACATCATCTTGGCAGGAGACATTAAACAGGGGAAGGTTTCCTGTTGCATCGAGTCCCTTGGGTAAAAATACACACAATTTCTGCCAAAAGCACAACACACCTGTGAATAACTAAACAAATTCGTAAATTTTGGGTTTCCAGTAATTGTTGCATATTCTTGTCCCTGTAGTATTCCACAGGATAGGAAAGTCATTACTGATGGCAGGATTCATTTGGATGACACAGAAGTCATAGTTGGGAATGTGGGGAAAGGAATTGGGTTGATGTATTTTTTAATGCATTTTCCAGAATTTAATATACACAACTTCTTAGTTAACTCCTACCTTGAGACTTCCCTGCCCATGCCACCATGGCTTCCTATTTGTTCCTTATTTTGCTGCATATCCTTTTACATCAACCATTTTCAATCTATACAATAACCAAATAGTTGTTGCTGCTGCTCATGTATCTAACCCTACTTGAAGATTTATTTGACTATACCATATATGTTTGTGTGGAGAAGTGTGTGTTGCTCCCCCTGCAACACACACTTCCCCACACAAACATATATGTTTCCTAGTCAGGCTGAGTCCTCTTAACCTAAACTGGACAAAAGTTGTGAAACTTAAAGCCCAAATTTGCATTCATGTGTTTTTGGCTAATTTTCCACATAATTAAGGGATTTTTATGGCGACTCACTGCACATGGTTAATATGGTTGATAATTTTAGGCTAAGTTACTTCATTTATTCACCCCAGGTGGTAATGATCATCCCATTTTTGACCCCTGCCCCATAGACTAATAGCATAGGGACATCACTCAAGCATCATGCTAGTTCTGACACAATTTTGGATTCTATCGCATAGAACCAGAGCGGGTGGTAAAGAGTGACACTGCATTAGATGTTGCAGAACAAAAGCCTAGCATTAGCCAGGCAAGCAACATCAGACCAGTGAACTCTGTCTAGGCCACTTGTTCTATTTGCTTCAAACACCACACTGCCAGAAGCTGCAAAGCCCAAAGCACACATCCTGCTATTATCATGGCCAGGCTGCCCCCTCATGCAGCAGATGTGTGACCAGAGTGCAGAGTCCTCATGCTGAACCAGGGCAAAAAGGTCACAGTAGTATTCTCTTTCCAGATTGCAGCAGAGGCTATTTCAATTAGTCCTGCAAGGACTTCCAGTCATTCATGATATGAGTTACGTCCATTTGTCTATGTAGATGAACAATCCCTACATTTCAATTTTTAAATTGAAATTTTTAAATAAGGAAGGGAAGGGGTAGAGGAAGACACCCTATTTCAGTTTTGCTTCTACAAGTTTTTCTTCTTCACCATCTTATCCATGGATGCAACACACACAGGCTGTATTCATGACATAAGTCAGGAGGCTGTATCTCTCAGAAGCATAACAAACAAACTAAACAGCCAATTTAGTTCTCTTGTTGCCATAAAATAATAGGTAATGAAATTTATACTGATAGTTTTGTTTGAAGTACTACTCTGTTCTTTTTGGAGTAAAGCCCTAGTCTGAGGAATAAACGGGGGAGCAGATTTGGGAAGAAAGAGATTTAAGTTATTTGAGAATTGGCTTTCGAGAGAACTTTGGAAAACAGGGTCAAGAATAAAAATGTGAAGAAGAAAGGGGGCTTTCTAGGTGAAAACCTGGCTTTTGAATAAAGCTTTTGGTATTGGCTGATTTGACTCTACTCTTCTGCCTTACACAGTTGTATACTGCTTTTCTTTTTGTAGTTTCACCACTTGTAATTTTGGGCTACTTTGTGTACCTTTCTACATTGTTGGGAAGGTTGGGCATAAACCTGTTAATGAATCAGTTCTTTTTCAGCTGTGACCTCTGAGCAACTTCCCTGCGTGAATTGGAATTGTACGGAAGCGAAACAAGCATTTTATAGTAATACAGACTTTGCAGCAAAAATTAGCATAAGACTAATAGAATAATATTGAGCTTAATGTATAAAGATGAGGCTTAGCTTTCTTACCACTACAGCTTCACTTCACTTCCTTGACTAAATAGCATCTGGTTGGATTTCACTATCCCCTGGGTAAAATTATAGGACAGAATGGACTTAGCTAATAAAGTCATATTCACCCAGAGCCTCTAAAGTCAGCTGGCATGGCAGACCAAAGTTTCCATCACATTCATCTGCCCAAGTCCTAAGACTCTTGACTAGTTACTACAAACATATACAGTGGTACCTCGGGTTAAGTACTTAATTCGTTCCGGAGGTCTGTTCTTAACCTGAAACTGTTCTTAACCTGAAGCACCACTTTAGCTAATGGGGCCTCCTGCTGCCACCGGAGCACAATTTCTGTTCTCATCCTGAAGCAAAGTTCTTAACCTGAGGTACTATTTCTGGGTTAGCGGAGTCTGTAACCTGAAGCGTATGTAACCTGAAGCGTATGTAACCCAAGGTACCACTGTAATCACTCATCTCAGTGTCCAGGGTCCAAACCAATTCATAACCTTTCGGGGACAGCTGCTCATTACATGGTAATAATAATCTGCATCTGAGCGAATTTGTGGCAGAGGTTAAGATTTAGACCAGAGAATAAGTTCACTCCCAAGCTTGGAGGCAATACTGGCTCAAGTTCTATGATTTCCAAATAGTTGCTAGCAGCTGTCAGAAGAAACAGAAACTTCTCCCTCAATACTTCCCACAGCCTGATTTTTCTTTATGTCTTGACTGAGTACAGAAGGGGAGTACAGTTCCACTGTTGCCCTTTCAACAATGCAGCATGGCAAATTTGCCTCTCCTTCTTGTGCTGATTGATAGCATTACAATCCAGTAGGATAATCTCCTCCCTCCATACTTAAGCTCCTTCCTCATTATCTTTAAATCACTAAAATCCACTAATTTTCCTTTAGTTTTGATCCTCCAACCCCCATGCCCAGTGGAAAGAGCCGGCTAGTCTAGGTTAATTATCTGCTAAATAAAAATCTTTCAACCAGCATCTTACATTATCAATACAGTGGTACCTTGGGTTAAGTACTTACCGTATTTTTTGCTCTATAAGACTCATTTTTTCCCTCCTAAAAAGTAAGGGGAAATGTGCGTGCGTCTTATGGAGCGAATGCAGGCTGCGCAGCTATCACAGAAGCCAGAACAACAAGAGGGATTTCTGCTTTCACTGCGCAGCAATCCCTCTTGCTGTTCTGGCTTCTGAGATTCAGAATATTTTTTTTCTTGTTTTCCTCCTCCAAAAACTAGGTGCGTCTTGTGGTCTGGTGCGTCTTATAGAGCGAAAAATACGGTAATTTGTTCCGGAGGTCCGTTCTTAACCTGAAATTGTTCTTAACCTGAAGACCACTTTAGCTAATGGGGCCTACTGCTGCTGCCGTGCCACCGGAGCACGATTTCTGTTCTCATCCTGAAGCAAAGTTCTTAACCCGAGGTACTATTTCTGGGTTAGCGG